CCTACTGGTGGATCTACGGGATAGGAAGGGAAGAGACAGGGAACAGCATATAATAATATAATAATAATAATGTTATGAATAGAGATACTGTTTAATTACACAGATCCTCTATCTATTATCTGTTACCAGGTCTTATTTAAAAACAAACAAATTAACTAAATACAACAGATATTGAAATATTCATTATATAGCCCCTGGGATGTTCAGAGTAGGGATATGGTAATTCCACGAGCAATTTCCTCTAGGAAAACAAAACATTTAAAATGCACTGAACAGAAACATCATCTGCTTATTTTACGGGTCTGCAATTTCAGGCTCTGCAGCCTATCGCAATATATCCAGTTGGAGATCAAAATCAGACATTTTTATTATCAAGAAAGTCATGTGTTTTCAAAATGCCAACAATCAGAGACCGCTGCATGTGCTAATCATGGTAAAGCAAATTGTCCGGGTGACTGGATTTTTTCTCTTGTCTCATTTTCTGCTTCTCTCCACCTCTCCTTCCATCTCCAACCATCTTCCCTAATCTCTTTATATTTTCAGCTCTCCCCTTTCTTCTTTCTGTTCCTCTCTCTCTCCCTCTCTCTCCATCTCTCTCTCCCTCTCTCCATCTCTCTCTCTCTTTCTTGTTCTCTGGGTGGTAAGGTGGTAATGTAGAGCACTGGATCTCTTGTTTCTGGGGGGAGTCCTAGTTGGGTGTCTTCTCTAGTGCAAGACATTTACCTTGGACCGCTTTCCAGAAAACAGGGGCCATGGCTTAGCTCAGCTCAGCTAGAGATCTACAGAGGAAAGAACCAAACTATATTTTGTCAAGAATACTTTATTTAGTGGTACATAAAAATCCAAGGCCAACCCATTTTAGGGACTCAAAGGGGACCTCTTCATCAGGGCTTGAGAAGTACTAGAAGAGGAATATTCTGGACAGTGTAAGCAGGTTTATCTGAAGGGATAGAGTGCTGATTTGTTAGAAAAGCCGGCTTCATTCTGTCTATTTCCCTTTCTCTCTCACACTGTCCACCTCTTCTCCTCTCCATGCTCTCTCTTTTCCTTTTAATTTCTCTTTCCCTCTCCATGAGTGTGGACTTGTTAGAAAAGCCTTCTTCTTTCCTGTTCTCATTCTATCTCTGTCTCTTTGTCTATTCCCTTTTCTCTCTAAAAGGAGAACTATGAGGCAAGTGATTTTCACTCTGCCTCATAATCTGAGCCGACCTGTGACAATGAGACTGTCACAGGTCAGTTCAGTAGATCGGGAAGTGAGCGAACACATACCAGCGCTCGCTCACTTCTCGATCATGTGCCGACAGAGAGCCGTGACAGGGGAGGGACTGGATTCCCCCCTCCCCGCTCCGATCCTCCAGCGCTGACTGGGGGAGGGGGCGGGGGCGGGTACAGCTGGCTCTGCCTTTAGATAGGCAGAGCCAGCTGTCACTCATGCAGCTGGGTGGATCCAGACATAATTGTCGGGATCCGTTCCGGCTGCGGCATCTCAGTATACCGCGAGCTACAGCTAGACTGAGCTTTGGGTGACGGGAGGGCGCTAGTTTGTGTCCTCCCGTTACCCTTAGGAGAACTATGGGGAAAAGCCCTGACCCCATAGTTCTCCTTTAATCTCTCCACTGTGCACCTCTCTTCCTCTCTCTCACTTTTATTTCTCTTTCTCTCCCCCACTCTCTTCTTTCGGCAATACTTCATATTTTTTGATTGGTTCTAAGGAATATTGTTGTTAGAATAAATATTAAACCGGAAAGCAGGCAGCTGGAAACATTTAAATTCAACTCCTTTCAGTAAAAATATTGGCACCATTGAAAGAAAGCAATATATTTTATGACCAAATCTAAACGTAAAGAATCAGTAGTGCTTTTGCTAGCACTCGTAGTCTGCATCATTTGTTCATAGGTATAAAACCCTTACTTCAACCCTAGCAATAAGGAGCACAAGAGGACAGTGGGGGGTTCCAGATAACCGGTCTGGTTTCTGTTGTTGTGATACAGTATAGCGAGTGTATATAGTATATGTTGCTTTTTATCTCATGCTTCTGTGTGCTGTAGAAACTGACATAAAGACCTTGACAGCATAATTATTTTCATTCCCAAACACGCTCTGCAAAGGAGATGGGCTCTCAACTGTCAGTTCTGATCTGACGGTCCCTGCACTTTTTTGTACAAGGTACAAAGAACACAGGCTGGGGCTTTACTACAATATTTAAGATACTGCAAAACTTACAGCAGTGTAAAACTGGCCAGCAGCTGGACATTTTTACTCTGGAATAATAGGCCAAAATTTACTATAGATGAAGAGAACAGGCAGGGGTTTTACTGCAAGAATTTGAAGACCGCAGATGATACAGTAGTGTAAAACTGGCCAAAACAGGATAATTTTATTGACCATGGCTAAGCCCATGTTTACTATAGATGAAGAGAACAGGCAGGGGTTTTACTGCAAGAATTAGAGACCGCAGATGATACAGTAGTATAAAACTGGCCAAAACAGGACCATTTTATTGAGCAAGGCTAGGCCACAAGGCTAGACAAGGAACACAGGCTGGGGTTTTACTGCAAGAATAACAATACTGCAGAGGACACAGCAGTATAAAATTGACCAGCAGCAGGACATTTTTTTTAGGGATAATAGGCCTAACTGGTGCATACCTAACTTTGATTGTATCTTTTGAGATAGAGAGTGTGGTGAATGCGAGTGATATCATGTGCGGTTGTTTAGTTGCACACTTTTCTTGCACTTAATTTTCTTTTGCTTTCAAATGATGCACAGTATACTCTGAGCCGAGAAAAAGGGTGGTTATATCTAGTAAATGCTGCACTTTAAGCACCCCAAAAAAGAATCGGCCAACATAAAATAAAAAAAAAATTAAAACCAAGAATACCACCACTGAAGCAAAGTGCATTTTTTTTTTAGGCTAGCATTGTGGCAGAAAAAGAAATTAGGTTTAACCTAATATAAAGGCCCTATCAACATACAATTAAAGAGTAACTCCAATAATGTTAAAAATGTACCCTTGCAGTGAGGCTACCCCTGCACTTAAAGAGCTAAGCGTTCATTTTGACTAGGGGGATCAAATAAAGCCAATATACTTACATGATCCACAGTCCCACTGGCTGCTACACCAGTCCCCACAGCCTCTTCTCCCCTGGGCCCTGGTGGTCTAAGGACAGCTGACATTATCATGCCCAATGCCGGTCTTTTGACTTGCATTAGACATAAGGCCCCTGAGGGACATTTCAAAGCTCGTGCAGAGGGGGGGGAGAGGCGAGTGCTGGCTGCCACAAGACCGAGGATCAGGTGAGTAGTATATCTTTCTTATTTAAGCCCCCTAGACAAATTGAGCACTTAACCCATGCATCGAGAGGGGAGGCCCGACTGCAAAGGTAAGTTTTTACAATTCCTGGAGTTCTTTACAACCAATATACCCCAAATTACCAAGATACCACCCTCTCACATAGAAACTGATTTTTGAAAGGCGGCCTTCAGGGCTAGTTCACACCAAGCACGGAGCAGGTGCAGAGCAGTTACCGAACGGATCAAAACTGCGTCCAATGTGTTCCAATGGTATTTTGGGCTCTAGTTCACACTGCAGCGTTCAGTTCCAGAGCATGTAAAAAACTCCGGCAAGCCCTATTTTTCCTGCTTTGGAATGCTCTGGAATGCATGCAAATGCATCAAAAATGCATGCAAATGCCCTGGAATGCACTGAAATCCCATTTTAGTCAAAACCGGTCTAGAACGCGGGCAAAACACAGTGCACTGCGTGTGCTGAAACTTATGCAGATCTGGTCTGCATTTGGTGTGAACAAGTTCTGAAGCAGCAAACCAAGTTTGCTATGGATGGGGCAGTAACCAAAAGTGACTCATGACCTCAAATGAACCACAAAATTAAAAGGCAGCAAAAGGGCCAATTGCCCAAACAGGTAGATATTACAATTAAAGTGCCCCTTACTGACCCTAATCTCTCCCTACACAGTTTGCAAGTTTTCCCTACAACAGCTTTCGATTGACTGATACTATTGCTGCTCTCTGCCCCCTCTTTCATAGTGAGGGGCTGGTTTATCTAGAAAAGCAAAACAAAAAGCTGGTTTGTGAGTGTGCCATGATGCCTTTCTACTGTACCACTGTTCAAAGCCCATTTCGTGTGCACCTTACTGTATAACTGGTAACAAATTGTTGAGTGCGTTTGTCGTTTGTTTTGCTTTTCCGATTTGGTGCAGCGACGCATGGGGTTTCTCAGCTGCCAATGGGATGTGCGGGATCCCTTGTGTGTCTCTGTACCTTTAAGGAGGTGGGGTGTCCTCCTGACAGGCCTGCACCCAATTTGATATCTTCTGCCCCATGTGCTCCAAGATGGAGACTCTCATAGTTTAGAGTTAGGACCGCACTATAAGAGGTGCCTTGGCGCGGCAGTGCGGCTTACACATCCTTTGCAGAAGACGTGTATCCAAACCTCTGTCATTGTCCTTAGTGGTGAGACAAGTTGTTTTACATGCTGGTTTGTGAGTGTGCCATGATGCCTTTCTACTGTACCACTGGTTTATCTAGAAGCCCCTTTTTGGCACTTCTAACGCTTCTGGTCATAGTTCAAAGGCCATGTAGTACATTATGGTTTTAAAAACTCTCTTGGGTGAATCTGCACAAGAATTTGCCAGGGTTGTGAATCCTTAACCCACGGGATTGGGCTTAAACCCAAGGTAGTGGGGAACCAAAACCTCATATCTTCTATCCCCAGCAATGTACTGTACATCTTTTCACAAGTAAACAGCCTTTAATGGTCAACATTTTAAAGTAAGCTTATTTTACATTTCCCATCTACTTTTTAGTCAGACAATCTGAAGAACCAAACAGTACGAGAGTTCTTTATGCTGACCTTTGAGAATACCCATGACATCAGGTTTTTGATTTTCTCAACTTTGCTTATCATTTATGTGGCTATAGTGGTGGGCAACCTGATGATAATTGCTGTAGTCCACAAGAATGTGAGCCTACATACGCCAATGTATTTCCTGCTTTGTCATCTGTCATTGGCTGAAGTTGTCTTCACTACTAATATCGTCCCCAACATGTTGAATACCGTCTTATGTGATGGTGGATTTATTGCTCTTGAAGGTTGTGTAACTCAATATTACATGTTTTCTTCTTCTACAACGGCAGAATGTCTCTTGCTCTCCATGATGTCTTACGACCGATTTATGGCCATCTGTTACCCCTTGCATTATTCCGCTCTGATGACCCAGAAGTTGTGTATACTACTAGTTTGCAGTTCTTGGCTCACTGGGGCCATAATGTCATTGCCCGCGGCCATCCTTATAAGTATGTTGGAGTTCTGTCTTCCAAACATTATTGACCATTTTTTCTGTGACCTTTCCCCAATACTTAAGATGGCGTGCTCCGATACCACATTTCTAGAACTTGAAGATCTTATTTTGTCTTTTCCCATTTTAGTTTTTCCTTTTATATTTATTGCTGTAACCTACATCCAAATCATCTTCACCATCTGCAGAATTCCTTCCTCCAGTGGCAAACAGAAAGCATTCTCCACTTGCAGTTCCCACCTCCTCGTGGTGTGTATTTATTATGGGACGCTTATCATTGTCTACATGACTCCATTAGCAGACAATATAATCAGTAAGATCCTAGCTCTCTCGTATACAGTTCTAACTCCACTTCTCAACCCAGTGATATATAGTCTTAGAAATAAGGAAATAAGAGATTCCATAAAGAAACTGAGGAGGCTGTGGTAAGATACATTGCTCTTATCATATGAGCTATATTTCCGACTTTGAACATGGTCTTCCAGATCCCCAATAGAAGACAAAAACAACAGAGCGCCACCTCCTTGTGTGAAATCTTCTTTTATTTGAATAATAAAAATGGCTATAAATACTCACAATTATAAAATGTCAGTCACGCTTGTCAATAAGAGACCACAAGATCAGTGTCTAAGGAATGTTGCGCTCCGTCTGCATATAAAAAGCTGCCTCCGGTTACATCACCATACCATCGTGCCACCGTGGGGATTCTGAGGAAGGGGGTAGGCCCCTGAAATGTTGAAATCCAGCCTAAAAGCAGCCGGTGGCACGATGGTATGGTGATGTGAATGGAGGCAGCTTTTTATACGCAGTCGGAGCGGAACATTCCTTAGACACTGATCTTGTGGTCTCTTATTGACAGGCTTGACTGACATTTTATAATTGTGAGTATTTATAACCGTTTTTGGTATTCAAATTATAAAATATTTCACACAAGGAGTTGGCGCTCTGTTGCTTTTGTCTTCTATGTATCTGAATAGAACCCCAGAGTCTCTTTGACGAACCCCAGAGTCTCTGCAGCCTCTCCAAAAGCTGTGGATATGTACAAGAAAGACTACTCCTGGAGGATTGTGTGATGGTAATCATTAGCTCCAAGCGTTAAATCGACATTTTCTGTTCCAAAATCTCCAAGCTTCATGCATGACCCTAAATGATATCTGTACTTTTCAGTTATATCTTTTGATCTACCCTTCTGACTAAGGCCTCATTCACACATGAATCGGCCTGCACATACAGCTCCGTGCTGCGTGCGGGGCCGTACCAAGTAGCTGCCGGGAAGGACAGCTGCTGCGTGTGATTAGAACGCAGCCCCCGTCCTTCTCTATGGGGCTACGCGGCCGTACGCCCCCCTACGCTCACCTCATTTGCAGGTCCGTAGGGGTGCCGGTGATCGTATTCATACGCCGCCGGAATGGAACCTGTATGCGTCCCGGCCAGAAACCCCGCATCCCTACGGACCTGCAAATGAGGTGAGCGTAGGGGGGGGTACGACCGCGTAGCCCATAAAGAAGGACGGGGGCCGCGTTCTAATCACACGCAGCACCTGTCCTTCCCGGCAGCTACTTGGTACGGCCCCGCACGCAGCACGGAGCTGTACGTGCAGGCCGATTCGTGTGTGAATGGGGGCCTTAAAAGAACCACCATTCCCTATCCTAGAAGTATACTTACCTGAATTGAATGGTTGCATCCCTCAACAGTCTTCAGAATGTTCAGACAAAAGTATTCTTTTTTTTAGTTTGTGATATAATGAGGAGGGAATAGAAACTCTGCTGTGTGATACCTCTATGCAAGGCTCCATTAGAAAGATTTCCCCTTGCTACTTGCTGTCCTGGTGACAATATTTTACCCGGCAGGAAAGCCAACAGCTGTTTCAATTATTAATATTGAGTTATTTTGCCTCCCCTTCCTGGGGACCTTTTCTATCTCCTCCCTCTTGTCTACCTCTTTCTGTATTGTTTCTGGTTTTCTTCCAAAGCTTCTGTTATGTGTTCTTCTTTCTGTCCTTTCTGCTCTTCATTGTTTCACCATTCCTTGGCATGTACAGTATGTTGATTACTTGAATAATTTCTTCACTTATTTCGATATTTCTTCTTGCCGTTGAGTCATGTACTTGGCCCGGTCTGTCTCAGGTGGTCTTCCGCGATATGTTCACCAATGATCTGTTTGTGTGGACTGGATTAGGATACAAAAGAATATCCCTTACACAACATTCTATTTTGATGTCTGTTGCAATTGTGGCAGCAGGCTGATAAAAACGCCTGGGTCTAGACAGGAGGGCAGAGACGTATATGCCAGGTTCAGGTGTTATACAAAAGGTTGTCCTCTAGGGGGAAGCGCTGAGAGGGCTGGAGGCTTGGAGGTAACAAGCCCAGCTGAAGCTAGCTGGCTTGTTAGGGCCTCTACTAGAAGTCCCAGCCTCCTAAGAGAACAGCCCTCTCAGCACTTCCCCCTAGAGGACAACCTTTTGTATAACACCTGAACCTGGCATATACATCTCTGCCCTCCTGGCTAGACCCAGACATTTTTATCAGCCTGCTGCCACACAATATTGTTATCATCCACGTTTCTTACGTTATATATCTTTTTTCCTGGCATTTTCAATAAAAAAAGATTTAACCATAAATAAAGCATGTCAAAGCGAAAAAAAAGTGGGGTAAACTCGATGGAAATTTGAGAAGGAGCCACATCCATTGAGGGCCACATTACATAATTTCAGAAAAGGATGACAGGACTTTGGAAAGAAAAACTAAAGGAGATGAGAGGTTACGGTTTACCATGCATATTCCATTATGATTTTGGTTTTGTTTATAAATGTCTTTTGGGCTAGAGGGCATTATTTGTATTTTTGTATACTCAAGCAATTTATTCTTGCCTAAATACACTTTTGCGTAATTGGTGCGAAACTGCTTGTTTTAGGAGTGTATCATAGAATGTGGTGTATTCTTCCTTAAATTAGAACTATGGGGTCAGGGCTTTTCCCCATAGTTCTCCTTAAGGTAACGGGAGGACACAAACTAGCGTCCTCCCATCACCCTAGGCTCAGTAAATAGGGAGCTGTAGCTATCGGTAAACTGAGACGCCGCAGCTGAAGCGCATACCGACAATTATGTCTGGATCCGCCCAGCTGCGTGAGTGACAGCTGGTTCTGCCTATCTAGAGGCAGAGCCAGCTGTACCCGCCCCCTCCCCTGTCTGTTCCACCAGTCAGCGCTGGAGGATCGGAGCGGGGAGGGGGGAATCCAGTCCCTCCCCTGTCACGGCAGAGAGTTGTGACGGGATCGAGAAGTGAGCAAACGCCGGTATGTGTTCGCTCACTTCCCGATCTATTAAGCCGACCTGTGACAGTTTCATTGTTACAGGTCGGCTAGAACTATGAGGCTGAGTGAAAAGCACCTCAGTTTTTCTTTAATAAAAAAAGGGGGAAAGTACCACATTCGAATATTTACTACTCAAGAGATCATACAAGGGAAACAGGTTCACAGGAGCCCTGGTGGACTTTAATGGTACTCATGCAAAGTGTATTCCTTAAAATCAACTACTTATTAAATTCAAATGAAACAATAATCACATTACAACGTTACATTAAAAAAAAGTGCATGAAACGCCATAGAACCGAAAGATTATCTCGCCTGCTCTACTCATTCAATTTGTTTTACAATACGTTCAATTCAGTTTATACAGGTGAAACTGGAATAATTAGAATATCGTGCAAAGTTCATTTATTTCACTAATGCAACTTAAAAGGTGAAACTAATATATGAGAGAGACTCATTACATGCAAAGCAAGATAATTCAAGCCGTGATTTGTCATCATTGTGATGATTATGGCTTACAGCTCATGAAAACCCCAAGAACCCCAAATCCACAACCTCAAAAAAGTAGATTACATGCAATCAATAAAACAAGGATTGTACATAGAACAATATCGGACCTCTGAAAAGTACAAGCATGCATATGTACTCAGTACTTGGTTTGGGCCCCTTTTGCAGCACTTACTGCAATTACTTTTGCACGATATTCTAATTATTCGAGTTTCACCTGTATATACAGTGTGTAAGATTTTTATACACACAGAGGCCCAGAAAACAAGAACAATAACACCTCAACCTGTTTCGCAATATTCAGTCAATTGCTTCTTCAGGAGGCTCTCGGATGAATTTAAACTTTATACAGTATAGCAGGATGTCGGGAAAGAGACAACAAATAAGCATATATGTTCTCATCACATATATACCATTAATAGTCTACAAAGCTATCTAACTTCTTGGAGGACACCTCCTACATTCGGCCACTGATGGCGACAGACACCTTCTCTCCGGTGGACATAGGAAAAGGGAGGGAAAGAAAACTAGGCTCAAACCAAAGCAATAATCTGCCAAAGCCATAACGAAGTGCAGCCATGCTACCAACAAGAATATGTACATAAATATGTTCTCAAACAATTCATCCCCACACAGCTACCTCCTCATGTATCACTTCCCCCTCCCTTTAGATTGTAAGCCCTCAGTGGCAGGGCCCTCCTTACCATCTTGTCTTGAATTGTATTGTGATTGTAATGTCTTCCTTATATTGTAAAGTGCTGTGCAAACTGTTGGCGCTGTATAAATACTATGTAATAATAATAAAGGGTATCATCCCCACCACCCTAATACCTGAATTTAATCAGTTGTATCACAAATCCCTTGTTTTAGGAGTTCTTCATTTTTGCCTGTGGCAATTTCCCAAGGGGGAAATAATACCCAACCAATAGTGGTTCATTCTACATTGCTTTGATTCACAACTACTTCACGGGCGTATTTGGGGCGTATTGAACAATGTAGAGCAGTATAACACTTTGGGTAGTTAAACAGTATACACAGGCTAAACACCAGACTTAAAAGAGGGACAACTGAGAAGGAAAGAGGGACAGTTCCCCCAAATGGGTGATAGTTGAGAGCTATGTGATCTGTGCCTACACAAATCATTGAGAGGTTGGTTGACTCTGCTGTAAAAATGCAGAGATAGGAACAGCTACATTGAAATCTTGGAGGAGTGGAGAGATATATACAAGTATATACATTCCAGGCAGTGGAGTAACAATCACCATAGCGACCCAGGCGACCGCTATGGGACCCGGCCAGATGCCGTGCGGGTCGCCTGGGTCGCTATGGGATCCTCTGCTGGTGGCTTTCACTGGCGGCTGAAGATGAACACGCCGCTGTTCAGATCACTGGCAGCGATCTGTGCAGCAGCGCATTCCTCTCCACAGAGTCAATGAGAGCCAGCAGCGGCAGTGGAGGAGGCGGGGCCCCGTGGTCCGCAGGGGAGGAGGCAGGCCCCGGTGACGAAGAAGGAGGCGGGCCCGGCGACGGAGGAGGAGGCGGGGTCCATTAGCGACCGTGGACGAAGAGGAGGCGGTCAGGTAAGGAGTGCGACCATCCCACCTGAGGGTGACCCTGCAGAGCCCACCATAGAGAGTATATGGTGAGCTCTGCAGGTTCACCCTCTGGTGGGATCTCGAGTGGGCTCTGCAAACGGCATAACTAGAAATCACGGGGCCCCATACAACATTTTGCTATGGGGCCCTGTGATTTCTAGTTACGCCCCTGATTCCAGGGGTGTCATTTAAAAAATAATTCTCCTAAAAGAAGAAAATTGGAAGTGCTGGAGATTCCCCTGATGAAGTCCAGGAAATGAAACGCATCAGTCAGGAGCTGGAGACATGTTGGTACACACCCAATATTGAGTGAGACATTGTGGTTGTGATCTATTACCAGCTTACGGAAGCTCTACATACACATACAATAATCCAATAGCGCTGGAAGCATTTGTGCCATGTGAGTGTTACCTGTCGCCTAAACTTTTTTTTACTAATAAACCTATTATACTATGAGAAACTTTTTCTTCTTTTTTTTTCCCCCTGAGCATTGCACACTTTGTAATTGGAATAGTCATCCATTCTGAGTTTAAAGGAGAACTATGAGGTGAGTGCTTTTCACTCACCTCATAGTTCTAGCCGACCTGTGACAATGAGACTGTCACAGGTCGGCTCAGTAGATCGGGAGGTGAGCGAACACATACCGGAGTTCGCTCACTTCTCGATCCTGTCACGGCTCTCTGCCTGACTGACCGCACTATCAGAGGTGCCTTGGCGCGGCTGTGCGGCTTTCACATTTTCTGCAGAAGACGTGTATCCAAAGCTCTGTTTTTAACCTCAATGTGAGAAGTTTTTTTACAAGCTGGCTGGTGAGTGTGCCAGGAAAACTTTTTGCTATTTTACTGTTTAAAGCCCATTCCGTGTGCACCTTACTGTAAAGCTGGTGACGAATTGATAAGTGCGTTTGTCATCTGTTTTGTTCCTACGCTCTGTAAAACGCTCAACATGTGAAAACCAATGATTGCCTATGGGCATGGTTCCCACCTGGGCGTTTTACAGCGTGTAGGAACGCCCTATGCCCAAAGAAGTACAGGAGCTTCTTTGGGGCGTATTTGCCGCGCGTATCCATTGGGATACAGCCAGGTAGCCCTCGAAAACGCGCATTTGTCGCAATAGAAACGCAATAGAAATCGCAATAGAAACGCGTGGCACGAAACGCGCGACAAACGCGCATATTCGATATGTGAACCCAGTCTAAAGGTGGCCATACACTGTGCGAATTCGGGCTGGTTCTTGAGGAACTGACCAAAATTCGTGCAGTGGGTGCTGCTATTGGCACCCTTTCAGTCGGCATCCCTCTGTCAGCTGATCTAAGGAGCCTGTCAGAAAAACGTCATACAAATAGAGCCCACAGCCAATGAGCTGCCAGCTCTGTTCGGGTATTCTGACTGTGGCTGGCGGCCACTTCCAGAATACAAAAGAAACAATGGGGATTCTCCCATCAATGCACTCATATTGTTGATGGAGGAATCTGCTCTATTTTTTTGTTCAGCCCGCAGGTTGAAAAAAAAAAAGAAAAGTATAGTGTATGGCCAGCTTAAGTGCAGCAACCCACCGCAACCAATCAGCATTCACTTTACTGTCAAAGATAAATGTTTTGCTAAAGGTCCCCACACATCTTGCGATAATCGTACGATAATGGCGGGAAATCCCGCGATCGTACGATTATAGTAAGGTGTGTGGAAGCCGTGCGACCTCTACTACTGTAAGGTCGCACGACTTTTAACTTACGAACATGTTTGCAAAGCCGCCGAGCATCGTACGATGTTCGGCGGGTGTGTAGCATGTTCGCAAGATAAAAGACGGACGGCCGGTGTGCGCAAGCGCACACTGCCCGTTCGGCATTGCGGTCATCGGAAGCCCGCCCATCAGGGGGCGTGGCTTGCGATCATCGCAAGTACGATCTGCCTGTCCAAGAAGGGCAGATCCTACGTTTTTATAAGTACCTTACAACCATCGCAAGACAAAAGTCTTGCGATGGTTGTAAGGTGTGTGCCCAGCCTAATGAATATAGAACTGAAAACATATGCCCAGGAATTTCCGAAAATTTTTCCCCAAACATCCCTCTGACTCTTTGGGTCATGTCCCAGCATTTTTTTACCTTGTTCTTGTAGCAAGAAATACCTTTTTATTACACTTTGTTACATCATTACCAGGTTTGCAAAATGTTTGCAGGGGCAGCTGCTGGACAGTGCAATTGATAAACACAAGCTCTCAAAACTACATCTCCCAAGATCCCTTTTCTAACACACGGTGTATGACCAGGCTCTAGACCAGGGGTAGCCAAACTCCGGCCCTCCAGCTGTGGTGAAACTACAAATCCCATGACTCTTCGGGAGTCATGTCAGTGGCTGTTAGAATCTTACAATGCCTCATGGGATTTGTAGTTCCACCACAGCTGGAGGGCTGGAGTTTGGCTACCCCTGCTCTTGGGAGTCATTGTTCTGCTGGGGGGAAAAAAAATGATGTATACCTGTGAGGTCTCACAGCCATCATTCCCAACTCTGTTTCTCTCCACCATGTGTGTTCCCACCCACATTTGTGTGTTCCAACGCATAAAAAAATCAACAGGGATGGTGGGAATCCTTCATACTGGTTACAGTCAGCTGTGTACACTCGGGAGCGGAGATCTCACCAAAAATGTCCATGAAGCCGGGTTCACATTTTTGTTGTGCGTTAATGCATGCAGGGCTGGATTTCCCACATAGCCAACCAAGGCCTGGCCTCGGGGCAGCAGGGAGTAGAGGCGCATTGAGGAATCTGGCCTTGGGGCAGCAGAGAGAGTAAATCCGGCCCTGAATGCATGTATGACACCTCTTGTTAATGTGTCTGTAGTAACATGCATTGCATTAAGGCAACCCATTGCCAAAACTTCACCTGACTCCTTTTTTGGGAAGGCAACACACTGCAATGCATTGTGGGTGCATTGCCTTAGTGCGTTGGGGTGTCATTCAAAAACTGAAATATTGCATGTAAGGTGAACACGATGACATACTAATGTAAACTTAGACTTAAAGTCCCCCGCCAAAGCACAGACAGGTATGAAGATGGGCTCAAAAATATGCATTTTTAATATAAGGTTTTTAACTTGTTTTATGATGTGGAATCTGTTTTTTTTTTGTATGTTTTTATTATGTTGTCTGGTCGCATGTTCCTGGGTGAGAGAACACCTGTGTGCAGTTATGTACATTAAAATGAAAGTATATGTATTTAATAATATGCATTTTACATATGCTACCATTCATGGAAGGTGCTCCTCCTGGAGGTAAACTGCAGTAAGCAGGGCTCAAAAAAGAAGTCCAATATAAAAATAAATAATAAGGTAGCACTGAAAACAACAACTATATAGAATTTTCCATACACTATAGGCAATATAAAATGCACCAAGATGAACATCTTCAGGAAATTTGGCAACTACACAAGACACACATCTATTGCAAATAAGACTGTGTAGCTCTACTCTACATATTGTGCAGTTTGTCTCAGCTAAAGCTCTCTGCCCATTGACAAGGGTAATTATTGGTTAATTGGCTGCTGCAGGTGGAGGTGAGTTGTATAAAGGCCTGAGCTGGGAGTATGTGTTATTTCCTTTTTCCTTCAGGATGGTCTTCTGGATGCAGCAGGGTAGTTGGTTGCTTTTGATGGCGCTGGTTGTAGGCCAGTTGGCTGCTTCTTACAGCAGGCATGCCATGGGCAGAAGCCGGCGCCAATCTGATCACTGGTGGAGGGCTCATCAGTCTGTATCTGGGTTGGGTTCCTCTAGACGGGCAGGCTGGGGGGCTGCAGGCAGTGAATTCGACTGGAGCTCTCAAAGCAGGTATCCTGGTGCTGACCATCACTCTGGATATGACTGGGGCTCCTCCAGGATGCACATTGAAGTGGCTGGGCAACCCAGACAGCAGCAAGTAGCTCACAATCCATCCAGTGTGGTGTGTAATGAGGACCACATGGTGGTGACTGTGCAGAGGGATCTTTATGGAAATGGAAAGCTAGTAAAAGCCTCAGATCTGAGCCTGGGACCTCAAAAGTGCAAGCCGGACTCCTCAAGCTCTGATGCTACTGTGGTCTTTACAGTTGGCCTGCAGGATTGTGGAAATGCCCCCCAGGTGAGAAACATGTGTGCAATGTTCTTTATATAATGTAATATATTTTTCTAGGTGTAAGCTAAAAACATGTGGAGCCTCAGTGGTTTATCTTTTTCCCTTCCTCTCTTGAAGTATAAGGAATGAGTGAGGGGGAAAAAAAAAGTAATTAAGGGTTTTTTTTTGTTTTTTTTTAGTCCTGGACTACTAAAGCAATACTATTGCTCATAGTGTGTATGAGGGTTGTCACTCTAGGGCACAAAGTATTGCAGCCACCACTTATTTTTTAAGCTGCAATAACTTTTTTTTTGTGTTCTTGGCTTTAGTCATACTCTTAACTTTCAGCAGTTAAAAATATATTGAATGCTACAAGTGTACCTGTCATGATAAAAATGTATAGCTCTTCACTGATCTAATC